ACAAGAGGATCTATACTTGCTACTTACTATCTCACACAGTAAAATTGGATTTCTTCTGAGTTTAAATCCATGGGTTTTGCTCAATGAGGTTTCAGAAAGAGGCAACTTTATTATATTTTCTTTTGGTTGTTACTAATGCTTTTAAAGATCATTAATTTTAACATTAACATTCTGCTGTAGTCTCATTTGAGCTGTTCTATTTATCTCAAAGGTAGACTTTATGTATTACCATTACAAAAAATAACTATTTGCATAATACTTTATGATTTTACATCTATTACAAACACATCACAGGGAGTCTGAAGACACATTCAGTAGCTTGTCATTCACCACTTCAAGACCCTTTAGAACCAAACAAGGGGGAGGGTGACATTTTGTTAATGGCAGAAGTACAGAAATGAACATAAATAACAAACCTTGTAGTTTTAATAATACAAAAGAAAGAAAAAAATACAAACAAATTGAGGATGATCCATGAGCATAAACAAAACAGTTTCAATTTGTAAAACTCCGTGTCTTCTAGATAGAGCAAGATCTTTGCCAATTTATACATCTTCTGTTATGATACCCATTTAAGCTATCTAGGACTATGCCATGTAACTAAAGAAAATTAATCTTTTTTGCTGGGTTTTATAATTAACATGATATTATCATTGCTCCTATTTATAGATGTTAGCTTTTCCTCAGCTTTGTGAAATAATCTGAATATCAATTCTCTACCAGTCTAGCCTTAACCCTATAAATAGGTATACTACAAATGTTTAAGAGAAAAATAATGACATAATGTGTTTAGAGATTATGTTGTTTCATAATTTCTTTTTGGTAAAAGAATTAGAGAATACTCTGTAAAGCCTCTATTTTTCTTCCATAACCATCACTCCAGATAAAATGCACAAAATAATGAAAGCTCAGTTGTCGTCTCTAATCCAAATGCCCACAACACTTGGAAGGTTTCTGTAAACAATATGCCTCTATAGGAAATACATATCCCCTAAGCCACCATTTACTTAATATTTTTAAATGTAGCTTCAAAGCACAGTGCAATACTACTATCAAACACACACACTCTGAAATGTACAGAAAAGGAAGGGGGTCGAGAGAGAGGAAGAAATGGAGCACGTTGTTGTTTTTCATTCATGCAGTATAGTGATGTCAGTGTCTGCAGCAGTAGTGGCAGCGGCAAGAACCCTGACCAGCAGAGGCTAAAATCTACTGAAGTCAGAATCTTGCAGAATTCAAAAGAAAACCAGTGTTGAAAATTATATCAACTCATAGCATGGATTTTAAATGGCTAAATAGGATAGAATACTTGTGTAGTTTTAACATAGGTAGAAACAAGGCAGGATGTGGAGAAGTAACATAGAGGTAATATAATCAAGGAACTAGGGACACAGGAGCCTGCATTCAAAATCACTTCAATGGAAGAAGCTGACAAAACCACCTGGTGTTAAGAACAGCAGAAAAACATCTCTAGCAGAGAAAGCCTTTCAATTCCCAGCACAAGCTTTGACACTGCAAATCTGTCTAGTGCCCAACCAGACTCAGAAAAGTGTTTTCATCATGTTTGCATTAAAATTGCATTAAACTTGGATGTACCATGCTACAACAAAGGGGAGAGTTTAAGCTTGATTACAAGTTTCATTAAAACTTCTTGATGATAGGGCATGTAATTTCCTAAACCATTAGGGCTTTTGAAGGATGCAGAAAAACAAGTTGTACTATTATCTGTTGTAATATGTTACTGTTTATCAACAAAAGGAAAGGAGATACTAGATGGCCATTAGAATGTTGCAGGAATTGCCAAAACTTCTCTTACTCTTGGCCCCAAGATCCTCTGTACACAATCTGTAACATTATTTTATGCTTTTTACATTAGTCCCTAAAAGAAAATCCCAAAACTCAATTTATGCATTGTTAAAGCTAAATCATGCAAAAATTTATTTAACTGCCTTCTTTTCTTTCTTTCTACTACCTCTCATTTAATACAGATCTAGAAAATGTGCAAAGGAGTTGCATATGGCATTAATCTGTTGGAAAATAGTGGTCTTTTCTATAAAATACAGCCAAAGATGTGTGTTCAGTTGTGGTCATTATTAGGGAGATCACGTTGTTTTCATTCATTCATTCAGGATTTGCTGGAGGATGTCAGTTTCTGCAGCAGCTGGCTTGACCTGGGGGAGGAGTGGGGGAGCAAATTCCTCCTGGTGCATACAGATTACAGGATGTATTCCTTGGAGCTCATGTACTTATCCCATTGCACTACATCCTACACTGGGGCTCACCATCAAGTGGTCTGAAAACAAGTGCCTTGGCAACGTGCAAATTATACAGGTCTGAAATGTTAAAACTAAAAACACCCAAACTGATCTATCATAACAAAATCGCTTTTCTAACACTAACACTTTCATCAAGAAAACTCCATTTAAAAAATTCCACATACCACATAAACATCGAACAGAACTTGACAGTGTTTCCCCTCCAAGCAGAGATTTTTCCACTCAGTATGATCCCTTCCCTCCACAATGCAGCAGCAGCAGCAACTGTAGCCCTTAACTGGTGCCTAATAATATTAGCTACTTCACTCTCCCTTATGGGCTTTAAGTCCCTGTTTTGGCTTATCTTTTTCTCCCCCAGGACTCAACTAGATCATGCACTTTGTCCCTAGACATAAACAAAACAAAACCAAAACAGAAAACATTATGGGAAGCCCACAACATCCACTAGCTCGTCATTACCTCTGACATCTAACAAAAAAGAAACTTGAGATCTTTACACATCTCAACTGAACTGTTAAGTGTACTTAAAAATGAACAGAAAAGGTGAACACATTCCACAAACAGGTTTTTAGAAATTTATCGTGAAAACTATGAGTTTGGCATAAACCGTTTCAAGGGGCAATTGTGCTCTGATGCATGACTATATAAAGTAGAGAAGAGAGATTGGAAAGAAAAAAAAAAAAAAACCTATACAATTGCACAGCCCAAACTGTCTTCTTTACACAGCCTTATAATGCCACTATTTCTCCGGAAATGGAATAAATATATACATATCCATATGTGTATATATATATATATACATATATATATACACATACGTATGTCTATACGCGTGTGTGTATGTCCCGATAGTTACAGGCACATTTTACACACACAAACCCACACTCTCACATATATCCTGGTAGTTACAGTCACGTTAGGAACTTCACAGGAAAGCACAAAGAGACTGCCGAGATTACAACTACCAGGCACCTTATCCGCAGTTGGAGAGTTTATGTGCGTGTTTTAAGTGTTTCGCCCAGCTCTTCCTTACCCGGTTACAAACAGCACACACACGGGAGAGAGAACTAATCAGCTCTTAAACTGAAAAACCTTTCGACGCAGGCGAGTGATGGAAGATAAAATCTGAGGGGCGACAAGAGGGTCAAATAAAAGTTGCTTTTCAGTTCGCTCCTCCAAGCCCCGCAGCGACCGCAGGGGGGTGAGATTCCCAAAGCCACTTTCACACCTTCAATAATGCACTATCAAAGAGAAGCCCGGAGAGGCTGAAGTTTCCACGGAGGACACCATCGGGGAGACGCAGCCCGGGAGGACAGGAGGATTGGGCTCGCTACCTCTGCACACCGGCGAGCCGGGGCTCCGTCTCTCAGGTGAGTTGCTCCTCCGGTGGCTCTCAGGGGACCGTCTCGGGCGGCCCTTGGCCCGCGGCGCCTGCTCGGCAGG